AAGAAATGCCGTTTGGCTGGGCATCGCAGCAAGAAGCGCACATGCACCTCCCCCCCCCCGCCATCATGCACAAGAAGACTTTGAACTCGCGAGCGGTAGAACAGCTGTGGTCGCGTTTGGGCTAGCTGACTGGATGGCGAAACTGATGCGCGCGCGATCGATGCTTCTTGTATCATCGCTGTTTATGGCGCAATGCGTTCACCCCGGGCACTTGAGAAGGGACTACCCTGGCCCGTGCATGTCGCGCAGAAAGGTGAGAAAGCGCGCCCCGAAACGATGGCGCACATGTCATCAGCCACTGGCGCACGATATTACATGAACACCAATTTGAATGGATTGCCGACTTGTTTGCATGCGTCAACTGATGGCCGGCCATTGCCATGCGACGGCTGTCAAATTTGATCTGCTCGCGGTCACTAATCATATCGCTGCATATGTGTAACTTTGCCTGTCTGCGCCCGAAATCGGTTTCAACTGGAGGTTGAACGCGCTCGCAGCGGAATATTGTGCGGTGGCTGCCCGCATTGCTTTCAATTGCCAACGCAGTGCGTTCTGCGTCATGGCCACTCGCCGATTTTCAATTGTCCCGTCGTGATTGTTAACTGCTGGTTGGCGACAATCGAGCATGAACAATGCGCTGTCTCGAAATGGCATGGCTGCGTTCGCGTCCGTGTAAAAACTTGTTCATGCATGCGCAAGTTCACCAGTCATTACTTCCATGTTGTTATCTCATTCTCCAGGTTGCCACTGCGGCGCAGGAAACCCCGAGCGCGCTGGCTCCACCGCCGCCTTCCTGCCCCATTCATCTCTCTTCGTCGTCCGCGCTGCCTTCACCCATGCACTTCTGCCTTCCCCCCGGCGTTCCCGTCTCCCCCGCCAGTTATTGATTGCATTCAGTAGCACGTTGCACTGGGTAGTCCCCATTCTGGCGTCGAATTTACCGCGTAGCGCCAATGGGTGAACTCGAGGGGCGCATTCTCCAGCAAGGTCCTTTCCCGACCGCTCGCAGCGCCAACAATTGGCGCGGATTTGGCGATGCGTTGACACAAGACGACAATTTACAAGCACTCGCTTATCAGCGGTTGCCCTGCAGCGCGCGACTTGCCCTGCAATGCCCCCTGACAACTGGCGCGGCGCTCGCCCCAGCGACGCGGCCGAGGCGGCCGGGCGCGCGTCTGACTCAGCGCCCGGCAGATCTGACTGCCAGGCATCACCGGGCAACAGCCCCGACAGCGACAGCGAATGCGCGGGGAAGCCGAACAGTTTACCAACGAATGTTGGAAGTCTCACGCGCTCATTAGATAACGAAAACAATCGCAGTTCTCGCGCCCAAAGAAGGCCCCCCCGCTGCGACGAGTTCAGCGGCTCCCAGCGACCCATTATTTAGGGGCGCGCTGGCCATGCAGAGGGCGAAACCTTGCACCCTGGATACATACTTCTTGCATGCCTATATACACCGTCTTGCAGAGGAATCGCAAACGCCTGGGCGGGCGTAGGACGGAATAAAATTGCATGCCATTTTGGTTCTTCGCGCACGTGTATTGCTCAATGTCGATTCAATAATGTTCGGCGCCCAACTGGCAGAGTCTGCGATCGCGCAATGCGTCGCGTCGGAGGGGCGCCCGAGGGCGTGGCCCAAATAAAACCGGGCTGTGTTTAAAAGCAGACTTGACAATATCAATCATTGTCTCAGATCTTTCGGCGCCGATGGAAGGTCGACCGAATTTTAAAGGAGCAGAGCCGAGCAGAGAGCGCCCAAGAGAGCATTTGCAAAGGTCATCTTTTGCAACTTTTCATGGCGCTGGGCGACGGCCCCGCTGGTTGCGCACTACTAGGAACATGCCGCGAGCGGCCCAGCTGGCCGGGCAAACGAATCCTGAGCGGAAAAGCTTTGATTGAAGAGCTGGCGGGCGCGCGCCGGCACGCGCCCGGCCAAGCCCCTACTGAGACCAAGCCTCGGCGCAATCGAGGCGGATCACAAACCGACGCGCTTGCAGACATGGCTCTCAGGAGTGGATCTGGATCGAATGCGCCGGCGCCCTCCCTCTCCAAAGTGGCAACTGCGTCTTATCGAATGGCCTTCGTCTTATCCCGCCACCGTGCCTGGATGTTGGGTCAGAGGCCTAATGGACGTCGGCTGGGATCTCGCGGTTGGCCTCCTTGGGGCCACAAGGATGGGGGGCAATGTCGAGGCCTCGTGAAGCCGCTTGGGGGCAATTTCTCAAGGGCCATGGGGACCTCTCTGCGGCCTGTTAGGGGCTCCTGCGGGGTTCGTTCGGGCTCTTTCGGGGCTCTTGAAGGCCAGGGGCAACGATGCTGTGAGAAGCCCTCGCGAGACGCCCGAAGAGCACCCAAATACACCCGAGAGCGTTCAGAAGCGCCCAGGAATTCGGTGGTCTGGGCCTACAAGAAACTACGATCCTCGACATCTCGGGGCTGCACGAGCCTTGGGGCACTCCACTTCGCGCCGAGGGTGCGGTGGCAGGTATTTGTTCGATTTCTGCGTCTCCTGGTGGTTGACCCCTGATTTCCGCGTACTTTAATAAAGCAGGCATGATGCGTGGAATTCTTGCTCAACCTCAACTGTTGGTTGACAAACGCGAGCAATCGCGATGCATCTCGCGGGAAAAAACCTCGCCATACGAGCATGAGCGAGAGCAGACGACAGGCGCGGGGGGAAGGCGGAAGAAGCGGGGGGACGGGGGACATGAGATGCGGAGCAGCGGGAAGAAGGAGGAAAGTGGTGGAGGAGGCGAAGAGAGAAGGATTCTTCCCCACTTCAAGACTGGAGAACCGACAGTTCCCTGTCTGGCCGCTGAGGGGTCCATTTAGACCAAGATATCACCACCCCCCTCGATCCGTAGCTCGTTTAGGCTGGAATGCAAGTGTGCGCTTTGTGCGTGGCTGACGCATGAATAGGACCGCTTCGCGCGACAAGCAAAAGCCGGAACCTCTGATACTCAAGAACGTGATTATTGCAGACCTGGAACGGCAGCCTGAGCCAGACGAGAACTCTACGGATGACGAAAGAAAGCTGTCCAACGAAACGTGCAAGCACCTGCAGGCATTGTGCGAGCAGGGAGCAACAGTCCCAATATGGGGTATCACTGGCTTGGCGAATCGCATCAGCTGAATGTGCGCTGACGTGATAGAGGATGACCAATTATGCGGTTTCGTATATTGGGGCTCCCCGCGCCAAGGGGGGCAATTGCGGATTGCGACGCGACAGAGACTTGGAAAGGAAGCGCAACGTTCAAAACCAATTCCTTCGAATCAGTGGCATAGGACCCAGGGGTCGCATTTGCAGTGATCACGTCTGCCAAGTCCTAGAAGGTTGAATGTTGGAGCCCATCCTATTCAGATCCTCAGGGCAGATCAGACACGAGGGATCCCAGAATGCTCGTATGCATGCCGGCGCATTTCAGACAGTATCGACCCTTGCGAGCGGATCCAATTACAATGAATTGGGGGGTCCCGAAGACATGATGGTCGCATGCTGTGCCTGAAAGATTCCGCTCGGCACTCACGCTCAAAGAGCACATGCTTGATGTCGGGAAGACAAGTCTGCACGTAGTGGAGATGTTTCAAGAAAACGACTTCGCCATCGAATTTGGAGGACAATCATTCTCGCTGGCGTTCGAGATGCACCTGGCCAGCGCGCAGAGGAAATTCGATCAGTTCTCCAGCGGCAACGATGCAGCGGGCCGTTTCCGAGGCCGCAAACGCTAACTACAGTGATGCACTAATTATTGTGTGGCCGATTGATGCGCCAATTGATGGTTGACCGTTGCTTTCACAAGTTATTAATGCAGTCGTGACGTATAAAGTTGTGAATCCGCATCAACTGCTGGTTGACCGATCATGCTTGCACTGCGCATAATGTTACCTGTACGTTTATATCGTACCCCATAGTTTGCGTCAAATGTGGCATCGCGCGAAATTATGAATTAGCAAACGGCGAAAAAAAGATGAGATACTGATATACGGAGAGGAGACAAAGAAACAGAGATATAACACATAATCACAATATGTAAAGCAATAAAACAGGATGGACGACCCCCACCCTACAACGAGTAGTTTCAGATTCGTTGTCTTCCTCTCTTCAGAATTAATGTTGAAGTAAAGGTTCCGGTGAGAACGAAAGAGAACAGTTCAGCGGACATGTAGGTTAACTTACAGGTGAAGAATCCAGTGACGATATACGTGGTACTTCAAGCGAAAATGTAGGCGACAATTTAGGGGGATATTTGACCAATTATAGAAACGAACACATAAGCAGCGAGCTAGAACAACATGACCAATGGAACACCGAAACAAGACTGACGTACTTCGTGAGGTGCGATAGTGATGCGGGAGCAAAAAAGTGCCCAAGCAAACGTGCTTCGAATGCCCGCGTCAAAAAACACACAGCAACACGGCGGTCCGGTGGCCAAAACAGGTGGGCACGACGACTGGCGCGTATATTCTGCGCGGAACATGATTTTAGACGCAGTAGAAAACCAACAACGAGACACAACACACAGCTAACCACTGTTTGGGTCGGCCGGGCCCTGGAACAGCACGCTCAAGCAAATATTCATTCGTCTGGGATGGGCCCGTGGATATTGCCACACGTTCCATCAACGGTCAGGCACGTCCATGGTCATTTAGTTTCAATACATGAGTCCCTGGGTTCAACTTTTTATCCTGGATCGTTCGCTGATGGTCCCATGTCCTCGAGGCAGCAAGAAAAGGCAAACGCCCAGACTTGAAACCAAAACTGTTCGACAGAGGTCTAGGATGCTGCTGCGGCTGGTGATGCGATAGGGGCTGGGGACAATGAGACGGTGTCAGCGCCCCCTGCAGGGGACTGCATTAACGGGCACGCTGGTCAGCGACCCGGCGAAACCAACCCTTCCCGACGCGGGCAGTGCTGGAATGCCCGACTGATGCCCTAGATTCTAGATTAGCAACCTTCGCTGGATGTCAAAAGTGCCCCGCGCGGTACCGCTGACGGTGTCCTTCGCCTCCCGCACCGCGCGCTCCGACTGCACCTGCGCCGATGTGCGCAAGTCCTGCGGGTGTTGCCGCCGTGGGCGGGGACTGGGGCACCGGATTGAAACTAGGATCGAGGATTGAAGATCGAGGCTCCTGTGCGCTTCTGTCTCTCTTCGGGCCTCCAGGGAAAGATAAGTAGGGACAATTTTGGAGGTGGACGGCGCAGCAATGGATGAGAAGCTGGGGCCATAGCCTGGAGATTCGCGGCGCTCGACGAGCGAGGCGCGGCATCTCCGCGATGTCGCGTTGCGCCCCGTGGAGGAACCTTTGGAACCTTTGGAACAACAGCCCAGACTGCGAGGATTCGTCGCGGCGAGGCGTTTCCTTGGAGTTCCCGCTGTGAGCGACAGGCTGCGAGAGAGTCTCAGCTTGCTCCATGGCGGTGACCATGGGGCTCCGAATGGGCAGGAGGCGGAAGTGCACAACGAACCCACCACCAGAGACATCGTCGAAATCAGATCCGAAAACAACGGGGTCGGAGCCGCGAATCGAGCGCCTCGCTTGAGACATTCTCGCAACATTGACCCGAATGGAAAGGTCTTCTACCCCTTGGCGGCCCCCCTTCGGGGTGCTAGCGAAACAATTTTCCTCGCAATCTGATCTGGAAGCAGAAAGATTCCGCTGGGCCAGAAGAAGGCCTCGTACGACATATTTCCGCAATCTAGTCGCGAACGGGCGAGTGTCCTACCCATTTGGCAGCTCCCCGCTGGTGTGCTACACCCTACAACAAGCGCCTCGCGCGAGGCATCCTCACAGTCTGGTCTGAAAGCAGAGGAAAGCACCGGGCCAAACGAGCGCCTCGTTCGAGATACCCCCGCAATCTGGCCGCGAACTTGCGAGCGTCCTGCCCCCTGGCGGCTCCCCGTTTGGTGCAGAAGCGCACGCCTCGGTCGAGACATATCGGCTCTGGAAAAAAACTGGGAGCTCCAAAGACACGCCTGGCTCGAGAACAAATTGGTCGCGAACGGGCCTGTCCAACACTACCTGGCGGCTCTCCATTGGGGTGCTACAGCCAGCGCTTCCCTCGAGACATCTCCACAAGCTGCTTTGAAAGTAAAGGGACTCACAGGGTCAAGCGAGCGCCTAGCTCATGATACCCCCGCGGTCTGGCCGCAACCATGCCCGCGCAACACCCTTAGGCGCTCTGGTGCCATCCATGCGTGTTACATCGCAGTGAGTTCGGACAACGAGCGGTCATGGAATGTGAATTATCTATGTATATGTGTCGGGAAACAAGTTGGCTCAGAATGAGTGGGCCTATGTGTATGTGCGCGTGCGTCGTCTGGAGAAGTGTTTGTGTGTGCGTGTGACACGAATGTGGCTGAATGTGAAAAGCCTGTAAACGAATGAATATGAGCGAACACGGATATGAAGATAATTGAGTCTAGTTGTTGTGGGCAGAACTGACAATGGGTGAGCCTGGGAATGAATGAGCCTTAGAGCGAATGAGTCTAGGTTGGGAATGAGTGAATGTGAATGCGTGCGCGCGCGTGTGCGTGTGCGTGTGCGTGTGTGCGTGTGCGTGTGTGTGTGTGTGTGTGTGTGTGTGTGTGTGTGTGTGTGTGTGTGTGTGTGTGTGTGTGTGTGTGTGTGCGTGCGTGCGTGCGTGCGTGCGTGCGTGCGTGCGTGCGTGCGTGCGTGCGTGCGTGCGTGTGTGTGTGTGTGTGTGTGTGTGTGTGTGTGTGTGTGTGTGTGTGTGTGTGTGTGTGTGTGTGTGCGTGTGTGTGTGTGCGTGTGCGTGTGCGCGTGTGTGTGAGAGAGAGAGAAAGAGAATGCGTGTGTGTGTACGTGCGTGTGTCCGGGTGTGTGTACGTGTGTGTGTGTGAAGGGTGAAAGGGGGAGGCAGGGACGTCCGACGAATCGCACACCCAAATATAGTCTCAGGGATGGACGTAGAAACATGCATACTTACATGAGCATACATGGAAGAAGGGGGGGAGAGAGAGAGAGAGAGAGAATACCAACAAAAAACAAATCCGCCACCGCGGCCCTTGAGGCAAGATTTGGAAATCGTCTTTTCGGCGTCCCGACGCTCCAAGACGGCTTCGGAGGCCCTCAGAATCGCCCCAAGAGGCCCCCAAGAGGGCCCGAAGACCGCCCCGAAGGGCTGCCAGGACGGCCCTCGAGGCCCGAAGCACAGCTCCAAGAGGGTGCCAGACGCCTTCGGCCCTGAGAAGGCCCCACGAAGCCCCCAAGAGGCCCCCCACGAAGCCCCAAGAGGCCCCCATCAGGCAGCAAAACAGCCGCCCGAAGGCCACGCACTTGCCCCCAGAGGGCCCCTGGGAGGCCCCCACGGGATCCCAACGAACATCCAAGATGCTTCTCGCCCACAACCCAGGCACGGTGGCTGGGTAGGCCGGAGGCTAGCCGATAACAAGAGGAGAGACTTGCGGGAAAGAGCCGGACGGATGAAGGGAAATGGTGGGCTTGCGGGGCAGAACTGCACGGATGAAGGGATGAAGCAAAAAAGTGAGCAGGACCACACGTCCGCGGCGACCTCTGGCCCCCGAGGCCGCCGAAGGCGACTGGAATGCTCAGAGAGGGCGCGCCCAGTCAGACAAAACACACATCACAGCAACCAAAACGTGTCTTCATGGCGCACGCTGTCAGACCAACACCGGGCGCCGCCTGGAACAGCGAACGGGCTAGCCGTCTCCGCTGGGCCGCCCTGCAAAGGCAGCTGCGTCGCCAGACGGAGGGGGGGGGTCGAGAGACATTTCGCGGGTATCTCGTAAGCTGTCA